CTAACTGCTGGTTCCCATCATCTGTTCATTTTCAAAGTAATAGTCTTATCCAAGAAGTATTCAGTAAGTGTTTGCAAGTGTATTTATTAGAACTCATGTTCACGCTCAGGTATCACAAAAGCTACGTGCAGTTTAAATGCCAGTGGACTCTATATCCTAGGCTAAATGCCATTCTAAAATCTATCTTCGTGTTCTCTTCCTTCTCATACCTTAGAAGAAAATTACTGATGTTCTTGCAAAATCAGAACCAAAGCCAGGGACCCCTGAAGACCTACAGAAGATGATGAAGGACTATTATAGCAGCAATCGCTCAGTGATTGAATTAGAGGAACTGAACCTACCAGGTACAGCTAGGCTTCAGTCTGTCTCATAATGATCAAAACTGATACCTTTCCTCTACTACGTGTTACGATTAGGTATCTCACCCCGTGAACTAAAATACTTGAACATACTAATATTCCTTTCCTCAGCCTAATAGTATTAACTATTGGAAAATTTCATTATGAGAGTGTTAAATGGTATTTTCTGAATCTAATATTAAGGTTTGTGATTGTGTTTTTGTTCTTAATTCAAAAGATTAATGAGTGGATGCGTAATTTTTAGCAGTCTCTTCAAGAAGTAAGAACCCCTATTGAAAATAGAATTAAATTAAAATGTGCTGCCTCTTAATAGCGGATGACGTGGGTGCAGCAGCAGGGCCCTGTAGGCCCCAAGGACTCTGGGATAAGAGATCACAGCCACTTCCCTGGAGGTTTTAGCAGTGGCCCCCTTGGCCGGGGATCATGACCGTAGTTGAGGCTGGGGCTGAGGTCACAGAGATCGCGGAGGCAAGGCTGAGGACAAGGAATGGATCCCGGTCACCAAGCTAGGCCATCTGGTCAAACTAAGTCCCTGGAGGAGGTCTTTCTCTTCTCCCTGCCCATCAAGGAGTCTGAAATGATGGCTTTTTCCTGGGGGCCCCTCTCAAGGATGACATTTTGATGATCATGCCTTCAGAAGCAGACTCCCAGGTTCAAGGCGTTTGTCCAGGACTACAATGGCCATGTTAGTTTGCACATGAAGTGCTCCAAGAAGGTGGCCACTGCCGTCCAAGGGCTCATCGTCCTGGCCAAGCTCTCCATTGTCCTGGTGCAGAGAGGCTAATGGGGGAACAAGATCAAGAAGCCCCACACTGTCCTTTGCAAGATGACCAGCTGCTGTGGCTCTGTATTGGTGCACTTCCTTCC